AGGAGGAGGAGGTGAAGAAGAGGCAGATGATGTCAGACGTCTCGGCATTTTCACTTCTAATGGCTGCAGCCGTCAGCAGAGACAGACAGAGAAGAAAGTTTTGATGAATCTGGCTCCTAATCGACGACACTTTCACAAAAAGGGCGTCTCATTTAAATTTGTAAAAACGGTGGTATTTTTTACATTCACATCCAGATGAAAAGTTCATTAAAGAGAATAAATATTTCATTAGATGATAAATAAAACAAAGGGAATTTTTTTGGCCTCGCTCAGCAGAAAATTCCTTTGAAAGATTAATTAATACATGTAAATTATGCAAATTATGCCCATGCAAATATTTTATGAAGACAATTAAGGGAGCCATTAATTACAGTCTTTTTTGCTTCACTGACATTCATTCATTTAATTTTTAATTTCACTTTAACTGTTTTGATGTTTAATCTTGCAACAAAAAGAACTTTATCTCTGCTGCACGGGGTCGCGTTAGCAACACGCCAAGTGCCGGGGAGCCAGGCAGGGACGGGGGCAGATGCTGAGTGGGGAAGGTATTTGCACACGCACCAGGCAGGAAGCGACAAGGTGGGGTTCCAGTAAAGCTGAGAAAAGAGCCGCGATGTTCCCCCACTTGGACCTGATTCAAAACACACTGCAAAAGCAATTAATAAACACAGACTGTTAATATCGCAGAATTAGAGAAGTGTGACAAAAGACAAATAGAAATAATTAGTTCTCTAAAATTATGCCCTCATTATTTATTTCTTTTTTTTTTCCTCTACCCTCGCCTGCCTGAGTTTGGAGTTGAGAATATAACCACACATTTCTCTTGGCTTTCATGCGAGTGATAGGCTTTTTTTTTCCCTCCCCTCTCTGCCTCCTTCTGCTTGTGTAATTTATCAACATCATTTTTTTGCCATTTGAGGTTAATTATACAGCGAGGCTTGCGGTGCAGAGCAGAGGAGACATGGGTGGCAGACAAATGCTTCTCTAATTGAACAAAAACACAAAAGTGCAGCACGTTTTCCTCGTTTTCTCCCCTCATGTTGCTTTTCCAGGCAGTGATCAAAGTGAGCGGAAACCATTTTTTTCCGCACGAGAATTGACAGAAAACAAGAGGAACTTTAATGTAATTGCACACATTTAGCTCAGGTGGTGTAGAACCAGCGTCAGTGTCGATGTCACTTTTTTTTTAAAGACAAAATTAATTCAAAGATTGTTTTTTCCCCATAACAACACAATACATTGTGTCATGTTAAATATCAAACCACAAGGTTACAGACAGTAGAAATACTACAAGAAACACGTACGAGAGTTACTCTCTTTCTTATACAATCTCAAATTCCAGACACATTGGTACACTTTCTATAAAATGAAAAAAATATTTTGAAAACTGTTATTTAATAATTTGCAGAAACACATTCACATCATGTCCTTTGAAGTTTTAGCCGTTTGCTGTTTAAAAACTTCTGCTCCTTGGCAATCTGTGGGCAGCGTTGTCTGATTTTTCTTTTTATTCACCAGACATATTCAATAGGACACAGATCTGGACCGCAGGCAGGTCAGTAAAGCATGAGCACTCAATGTCTACAGAAGAATAACGTTTGGCTTGTCCCTTTATCAGTTGTCTGTGATCAAAACCATTTCTGCCCTTTCTGACCCACCCCTAAATACTGGGGATTAGGTGGAATGGAGCCTACACCCTAGCATAGGGGTGGCAAACATTTTGGCTCGCGGGCCAACATGAGGTTCAAAGTTTGAGCGGCAGCCGACCAGTATTGGTTGGATGGAGAATGCTGGGCGAAATTATATAAATTAAATGTACAAAATCAATAAACCTAAAGTTTTAAAGAAAATTTGGCACATTTGATGTATGCCGCCATCTAGTGACATCAACTGAAATCACAGTTGACTTGTTGTAATGCATGGAACAGAAGGCTTGACATCAATCTTTATTATACCTTGGACCAGTGTTAAACAAGCTGGATTAGAAAGCCCACACGGCCATATCTGGCCCACGGACCATAGTTTGCTCGAGTTTGTACACTCCATGTCTACAGAGCCATGGTTTTGTACATGGGGCAGAAGGATGCCTGATGTCGTCCTGCAGGAATAAATGCAGAGTTTCTTGTTAAGGACGTCATCTTGACAGAAACATATGTCTCTCCAAAACTCCAGTACAACTGTGCATCAGTGCTACCTGCGTCTACTGGCAGATTTATGACGTGCCATGGATACTGATGCATCACAGATGCTGAGTCGTGCACCTTTTGTTCAAAACAGTCTGGTTGTTTTTTCTTTATCCAAAGTTATTTTGTCTCAAAACCAAAAAGTATTTTTTCAACTTTCTCTCTCTTTTTTGCAGTTTACTGCAACAACCAACTACATACAGTAGTATAGACGTCATTGAGAATTGAGTATAATTTACCAAAAGAGTATCAGTATAAGAGAGTACTACATTATTGTTTTACAAAGCCTGGTTCTCCTGTCACTTCAGTATGAAACCCAGCAGAAGTAACTCGGCCCAGTTCTCCAGAACAGGGCCGTCGTCCCTGACGTCCTCCGCCGCTAATGTCATGTCCAACAACTTGTGCTGCTAAATGTCTTTGTGTGCGCTCATCCTTCAACCTTAAATAATTGAAGGCCTCACAGCCATGGAGAAGTGTGCTTCATAAAGGCATTACTGTTGCAGAGGAAATGTGAAGGTAATAAATGTCAAACGCGCTCCTCGACTTCATCCTAACGGATGCTTTTACCACTCAGCTGAGCTGAGCTGAGCTCGTCGCTGCTGCTCCACGCTCGCTCCGGCAAACACCTACTGTATACGAGACCGCGTGCTTTCTGTTTTTCCCTGCAACTTTTGCTACAAATGAGCAAATCCAGTTAGATGGGAGGTGTCTGGAGATAAATGTAGCAGAGGAACGTCTGCCATCTCCAATCAACACCATTTCCACGCCAGGAACGATGTCACTCTGAGAGCAGCGTGCATCATGAGCGCAGTAATACGATCAAACAGGCGTATCAGTGGAGACGTCTTCAACATGTGCAGCACACACACACACACACAGCAGTGCCGTACAGTGGCTGTGTGGATACAGTATCACGGCTGCTTTAATGCACAGTGTGTACAGTAGAGTGGCTGATTAAATATGCATGTAACTGGGTGATTATATATGTGTTTATATGTCCTGACTGGAGAGGAACAGGAGATCTGAAACACAGAACCTGAGGAGAACGTTTAGCTTTTCAATTTGAACTCATAAGATTATGAACACAGCCAGAGGAAAATTATGATCCAATAGTCAAAACATTATTTATTTATCTTTTTTACTTACCTATATTTATTTTATTTACATTACCTTTGGGTGGACTGTTTGTTGGCAATTTTTGTTAGTCTTTTGTGAACACAGCCTGTACGGTAGTTTCTATTCTAGCCTCCTGGAGGGGCTAAAAATATACCTTTGTATTTAACTATTTTATACAGGGCGTCTGTTCTGTTCCTGACGTTACTTGATTTTCGCCTTAAGTCGAATGTTTCCCTTTTCGATACCTGTGATCGTCCACTGACCGTACCAATTGTGGGTCACTTTTTTTGACCCTGGTATGGCCCACCATTACCTATTGAGTGCTGTAGAGGGCTGCCTCTCCCCTTGTGTCCCAATGACTGGGCTGAGAGCCACATGTTGGGTCACAGGAGACAGTTGTTTATATTTTCACCTTATTTAACTGGGAAATAAATAAATACAACTTATTAACAACAAATCAGGAAAAAGGTTCTTCACTTTAACAACATACAGTCCTAGTGACCATTTGTGCATTGATTTAATTACTTAAACAGAACAGTTCTAAATTATATTATTAATGAGGTCAGTATTTTTAATTACTTCAGTCAGATTTGGAAAACACTCTCTAAAACTATCTGATGGTGGCGCCGGCTTAGATTCAGTCAAAAAAGAAGGTTTAATTAAATTACTTTCATGTGAATTTTCTTTAAAAGACAGAAACTTAAATGCAGATATTATTTAATCTCATTTGTCACGGTTACTATCTTCATCTTCGACTCAAATTGGTTCGCTTAAAAATACAGCTGAGATCGAAACGCTGCGGGGCGAAATTTAGTGTTTCTTGAACTCATAGTTTGCTTCAATTTTCAACTAATACTGTGTGTGTTTTTGTGTGTGTGTTGCAGATGGAAGACTGTTCCTGAAAACTGCAGTGATGTACTGATGAGGCCATGAGAAGATCCAGGAGACAGTGGAAGTAAAAAGTTACACAAAACAAAACTAAAAAAACACGGTTTAAAAAATAAGAGAAAAAGAAAAGCAAGAAAAGTCTTGAAAATTCTCCAAAGCTCTGATCCAGTCTGATAAAAAAAGTGGAAAAAAAGCTGTTTTCACCAGGAGAAGGTTGAGTCTGAATGTAGGATAAAAGAAGTCTCTCGTTTTTAATCCCAGCGGCCGATGTGAGGGAATTAGCAGGTGTTTGGGCCGACGTGAAGGCTAAACATATATATATATATATATATATATATATATTGAGCACAGTTAAAAAAAAATGTACCCGTGGTACAATGTTGGTAATAAGTCATAAACAAATGAATAAATCCACAGCACTGAAGATTTTTTATACTGTATCTCTGCCAGCGAGAAAGCTTCAAAAAAAAAAGAAAATTGACTGAAGTTTTTCTTTGTTTTTTTTTTTGTATTTCAAATTGAATTCAAAAGTCTCAAAATGACCCGTGGGGACGATGAAGGTCATGATGACAAAAAAATAATAATGTGAATCTCATGAAAAGAGAAGAGGATGTTGGGTTTTAATGTCTTTTCTAAATTAGATGACAAATACAATCAAGTTTCCTTTTTACCATTGTTGTATATATATATGATGAAGATCGGACAATTGCGATAGGAATCCAGCCCCCTAGTGGATCAGTGAGGTATGTGTATATAATGTTCAAAAAGGTATTGTGTATGCAGTAGAGCTATTAGGCAAACAATACCACCCGTTTATATAAATCTCCACTTTTGTTTCCTTCTCTTTCTGAGCCATCATCCTTTTTCCTATAGCTGCCATTTTTGGTGAGAAAGCATGCAGGCATGTAAATGTTTGTCCTGGAATTATGATATTTAATAAAAATCCTATATTGTGCTGAACAAATACTAGGGTTGACGTCACTCCAGAGCCCAGGTTGATTTTTTTTTCTTTTTGGAAAAACAAAATATAACTCTTGATGATACATTTCACTTTCAAAAATGAAGACCTTTTTTTCCTGTCAATAGTACTGTAATCTTTGTAACAGAGGTTCATATTTCTTGGAATTTTACTGTACATTTGTCATGAGACACTCGTTAAAAAAACAAGAAGGAAAAAAAAAAGAAATCAGCACCTCAATACTGTTTTTAAAAAAAGACAAAAAAAAAAATCACCTATCATACCCTGACTAATTAATGAAGAACACTGGGAAACAATCAGCTGTGACACGCACACATTAGGGATGTGCACCTCGTTAACAGTGTTGATAGAAAGTTTACACACCTCTGTGGAAGTGCTAGGTATTTTTGAGTGAAATAGCGCCACCAAGCTGTTAAGTATTAGAACTTTAATGGCAGAAATATCGAACTCAACCACCAGCAGGTTTCTCAGTGGGGGTGGTATTTATTTTGTTTTGAGCCCAGTATACAGTCGGCCTCAGTACTGAGTACTGTGGCTCCATGTAACTGGGTATGTTGGACCAACTGGACAGAGGCTACTGTTAAAGGTCAGGGAAATCAGTCCCATAGAATGAACCAATCACCAATGAGCTTAACAGTGACTACAGTGTTTTCATGGTGATGTGTTGATTTAACCCACCCATAGACAGGCGGCAACACTGCTGTTTGAATCAACAATCCTCTACTCACTCAACCTCTGGGCCACAGGATGTCCGCTAACACTGCGTTGCTAACCAAACCCATTGGAATAAAAAGATAAGAAAAACGCTTATATCGCGTTGCTTGATCATTTTTAGATATCTGCCTCATTGAGACCTGTCAGTCGGTCACATAGTAAATAAGCTACAGATAGTCTTACCAGAGAGTCCCTCCTTGTGGCTAACGTTAGCCCGGTGGTTCTCATTTTAATTTCTGTCATGCCCCTTGTCCTTTAGGGGACAGACATATTTTCACGCCCCCCGGTCCGTCCGACCCACACCCCTGTGAATTGAAATACTATTGAAAACCTAATAACGTATGTTTTTATCTGTACAAACAACTGTATGAGTTGCTGCCACCTAGTGACTGGAGGCTTGTTATCGTTCAAGCATTACAGCAGTGGTACACTGATGTCCAGGGTTCCATATTCCATTGGAAGCCCCTCCGCCCCCCCGGCACCTCACCGTGCCCACCCTGGGTGGTCCGCCCCACTATAGCAGCACTGCGTTAGCCCATGCTGCAGTGTTGGCGTCCACACACGGTGATTTCCTCCATCGTTTGCAAACGTCTGTATAATACTTTCACTTCCTTCTAATGACTGAAAAGCTTCAGCTTCAGGTTAAGAATCACACTACCACCAGTCACTACACTAGATCACATGGTCTTTGTTGTGGGCTAAGTTTCGTGGCACAAACTTCTCAATCCAAACTTTAGTGTTCAGTATTTCCTGCCTAATTGGATATTTGTTGGTTTTTAATCAAATTTAGAAAACAAAGCACACGTTAATCACTTGGTGTTGTTATTCCACACTGGAAAAGGAGTGTTTATGGGGTGTGTAAACTTTGTGTTTTCCCAGACACTGTGTTTTCTGCTCTAATCTCTTTGGACATTTTTATATAGTGTGTCACGATGGCCTGATGAGTAGAAGGAGAAGAAGAAGAACTCACGAGAAGTCTGATTTGTCTTCTTACTTTGCCTGAAGGTTTGAATTTCAGTGCTGTGTATATTCTCTCAGAACATACGCTGATGTCAGTCTTTTTACCTAGCAACCAGTTTCTGTGTTACAATCAGGAGGTGGAGGAGGAGATGATGGAGGTGGAAGAGGGGTGTGTCATGTTTCACGATGTGTTTGTTCATTTTCGTTCTCTATGGAGGTGTCTAGGTCTGTCGTCACTGATAACTTATATAGCTTCTTGAAATCATCTCTTCATTGTATTTCAAATTCAAATAAAGTTAACATGTTGATGATAAGATGAGAACTCACTGGTTTTGATTTGACGCCTCGTACGTTGAGCGGACGAGCGAACGAGCGAACGGGAAGGTCACGGTCACCTGGCTCGTGTTCTTGAAGGAGTTGGTTGAACTCATTTATCTGCGTTTTGCAGGACCTGTAAACACACCGCAGGTGAAAAAATGAACAGCAGAAAGAGAAAATGTGTGTGAGAGTGTGTGTATGTCAGTCAGTGACCAGAGTGTTTTCCATGTTTCTCCTGTCCTTCTTTGTGTAAATTTGACTGTAGCATGTTTTATTTATGTGCGCGACACATATCCAAAGACTGGCTTGGGGGAAATTGTGGCACTTGGAAATATTTTCTGTGGACGCTCACTTCTTTTTTTGTTGTTGTTGTTTGTGTTGTGTGTAAAACATTTAAGGGACTTTTTCTTCATACTAAAATATGTTTGAAGGGTAATTTCAGTAGTTTGGTTTTACCTGGCTAACCTGTAGTTGTCAAACTAGGTGGGATATTATTCGTCAAATTATTTGTGAAGTAACCATCAAAAAATTCATATCTTAGTGTTATGTTTTAATTATAGATCTCTTAATTTTGAGCTAATTTTTAGCACTTCTGGATTGCCCTTATCAGTTTTGTCTTTGTGTGTTTGTCTAACTGTAGCATTTGTTCTCTTCTTTGATCATTGTTCATTTTAGTGTAAATTTTTTTCTATTCTTTGCCTGAATTTGTGGCCATTTTTTGCTTTCCTTTTGCTATTTCTTGGCTAATTTGTGACTAAACGTCAGCAGCTTTAAAGCTGTCCGTTCTCGTCAGGTGCTGTAATGGGCTCAACATTTGTTTTCATTTGATTTATTTTGGTGAATGCTAATACATACAGCAATATCCACAGGAGTTTGAAATCAGACTTTTGTCTAAAATCTTATCTGGTTTGAAGAAAATGTTGCTCTTTTTTTAAACTTTGTCTCTCGTTTTTCTTATGATGCTGTTTACCCGGTGGCACCAAGTCCTTGTCTCCTCCTCTGGTGTAGTAACGATTTGTCCTCGCTGTTTGTTGAGTGACATTATTCAAAGACACAGTAGTTTATCCACAGGGATTATTATTTCAGGAGCGTCTCTAACAGGTACACAGCTCCTGAAACACACATCGGTATAAAATATGAAATCGACATTGAAAGACAAATTTCTCCAGTAAGCAATTCTGGGAGAAAATGTGTTGACACAGCACGCTGGGCCTGCTCCCATTTTGCATGCTTTTTTTAAAGGCAGGGCCATAAAGCAGCAGCAACACACAGATGAATAATAGACAGATTGCTGCATAATTCAATGATGCATTGTAAAAATTCAAGGACCGGGAGATTTCAAGCTTTCCTTCCGTTTTTTTTATTTGAAAAAGTAGCTTTCTGCCACGATCAGCCTTGAAGGAAGTGGAGTGTATATGACACGGCTGTGAAATCAATCACTGCTCGCTCACAGTTTTTGGAGCTCAGTGAAAAGAAGTACAAAGTTGCTTCAAGAGATATCAAGACGTTGAAATCATCTTATTCAATTTATTAACCAAAAAACACACTGTACATACTTTATATCAGAACATGTATCAATCAAAGTACACAAAATGTAGTAATGTACTGGTTTTTTTTTTATTAAATATATGACTCTAATATATTAAATATATTTGTATAATAACCAGGTAATATGAGAAAACTGATTTGAAGTTAAAAAATAAATGCAGTAAATAAATCAATATCTATATTATTTGAATAATTAATTGAAAAATATGAATTTTACTTTTTTTGGGATTAGGTCAGAGTGTTTGACTAAAACAATCTCACAGAATAAAAAAGTCCTATTAAAATATAATATAACAAGGTGTATCTCTCTATCTTGAGGGATTCAAATATCAAGTCAAAATGTTATATATTCACATTATATTCTCTAAAAAGGGATGAGACGTTACTTTAATTTTCTATGTAGATAATTCTACATAATGACTTGTTTCTTATACTTTTCCCATGTACAAAATAATCTATTCCAATAGAGTGTACTACTGAATATATGTACTGTCACAAAATCCATACTGAAATGTGACATTATTTATATAAATGAATATTTACAGCTTGTGTAAAGCAGATACAATCTGTATTTTGTTGCTGATATAATTTAATCTAATAATTCTCATTGTGTAATTCTAATTTTGACTTGTCAAAACTCTATCAGCATGATATCTATCTGCGGTAGATGTCACACATAGACTTTTTAAATAAACAAATTTCCCGTAATTTACAGAGAAAAACTGACGGCCTGATCTGGGACGGGGCCCCTTATCTTTGACCTCAGTGATTTAATTTTTCTGTGGGTCTCTTGTGTCGCTCTCTTCCCTTCACGGCAGTGGAAGATTCAGTCCATTCGCCGCCAATGAGCTCGTGTGAAGTGAGCAGTTTGCAGCTATTACTCAGATATTCTGTTTATTTCTCCATCTGAAGCCTGCGCTGGCGTCTGAGGGAGGAAGCCCCGCAGCTACATGTTTCATATCACTGCACATTTTGTAATAAATTCAATTCCGCACAAATATGACCATGAGGCACAAAGACTTTAAATACCAAATGTGCATTTTTATATTATGGCTGTGTTGTTGCATTTCACTTTTTCGCTGCGGTGTGGAAAGTGCAAAGCTGATTGCATATTCACAGGGGCGAGAGCACTGTGTGTGTTTGTGTGTGTGTTTGTGTGTGTGTTTCAGAGCAGCGTGAGTTTGTGTGCGTGCTTCAGAGCAGTATGTTTGTGGTAGATGTGAGATGTGTGCTTTATTTCCTCTCTGTTTGATGTGGACATCATCTTCAGAGTGTCGTCCAGATCTGATTATTCCACATGGTCGTGTCTGTCACCTTGTTGCCTGTTTGTGCTCCTTTGACCTTTCATGTTCCACATCTGCTCACTTCCATCTTAAAGGTGCACAGGCTGGGATTTGGCAGCACCTAGTGGTATGGGCACATGATCACCGTTACTGTCTAATTTGTAGGACAGACATGCACGAAGGCCGGCCCAGTCATTAAAGCCACATGGTTAACAGTTTTTTGTGGCCGGCGTCTCATTTCCTAAAATTAACTTTTTATGGCCCCATCATCAAAGTGGAAATTTCACTTTGTAAAATATGTTTCCGGGGTATTTTGGCTCATTCCCAGGGAGATTGTATTTTGGTAGCTTCATTAAAGCTATTATCTCTCACTTTTACTACTGTATGTTACTGGCTCAAGTTTAATTGGCTGAAAAATGCTCAAAATAAGCTCAAAGATTTTTAATCTATTCCTGGATCAACTTGTGGATGTGTTTTGGCTTTACTTTTTATTTCGATCATCTTTAGCTATTTTGTCTTAGCTTTGGTACTACACTGACTGTTTTAAGACTGTTGGCTTAGTTTGGATTTTACTCATTTCTAACAATGGTATATTTAGTTATTTTAGGAATATTTAGGCAACACCACTGTCCACTTTGTTCTGTGGCTAACTTCGCTGTTGCTTCCATGCTAGCTCTTTTGCGACTTGGAAGTTTCAGTTGATTTGTTTGCTAACTGTAATTCTGTTGCTTGGTTTTTTTCATTGCTTTTGTGAGTGATGGAAAACTGGAATTGAGAAAATCTTTTTGCAGTCTTTCAGTCTTATTTATGCTTTGTATTTCTGGGCTAAGGTTGTGTTTTAATTAAGAATGTCAAAAATAATTTGTCAATCGCATTTATTAATTTGTGAAATTAGCTTGATTAAAGTATCCACTAATTCCACCGTCCATTGGTCCAACACACACACTGTGTCATTTCACTAAATATATATGTATATATGTATATATATCTTTAGGTGTGTTCTGCCATGGTGACATTTTTCACATGCTAAGTCATACACAGTGAAGATTAAAAAAGTTTCACAAGCCTCAAATTAGCTTGCGTTAATACTTTGGGTCAAACGCGGTGTTAACCCTGACCCTGCTAATTCCATGTTCATCATCAGGTCCATGCAGGCGCTGGTCATTTAGTCAAAGCAGCCATTTAACATGTCCGCTCATAAGTCAGTGGTGCCCTGAGTCTGTGGAGAGACATTAGGAAGGTGCGGGCTGATAGACGGAGAGATGGGACTAATGTCACCTAATCAGATAGACCATTATGTATTAGCCAAACTACAAAACAGTTTTATCTGACAAGGGCCAGGCCACATTACCTAAATTAACATTTTGCAAGCGTGAACATGGAAGAGCCACGGAGGCGCGGGGAGGGCTGCGGGACCGCGGCCTGCGCTTAGACATTCGGCAGTAATTATTAATTTATGATTGTCTCTGCTCTTAATGAAAATGAAAGCCAGGAAAGAGAACAGGGAGGGATAATGTGGCGTGAAATTGAGTTTCATTTGTACAGGGGCCACCTTTTAACTTTGCGCTTCTTAGGCGGAAATGGAGCCGAGCTGCCCCTCCTCCCTCCGTCTCCGTCTCACTCCCTCTCCAGAGAGTGTATCTCAGGTTTTTATTTTTTATTATCACGCTCTCTATTTTAGTCAAAGCTCGCTCATATCCTCTCATCCTTTTGTCATATTTGGGGCCAACACGCCCTTCAACATCTCCATTACTGCTGTGTGGTTTTTCACAATGGCACCGAGCTCTTTGATGCCTGATAACTGTGTCAACAGGTTTCCCTGAATAGAAATGTCTCCACACTGTGGTGCTTCAATGTCAGCCAGGCCGTCCAGGAGGCTGCAGCTCAGCTTCATGTCAAAGAAACAATAATAGCAGACAGACGGCTCAGTTATTCAACGAACAGACTGATGGTTTCATCTTAAAAAAGTCTTAACATGAGCCCAATCATATTGTCAGGTGAGAAGTCTCTTAAAGCTCATCTTGAAGAAACCTGAAAGTTTTCACGCCTATGTTGTCAAGTTGCAGGTCACAATACAAAGGTTAGGGTAAGAGGCTACATTTCCGGAGTTGCTGAATTCCAGGAGGATCTGACAAAACTCCTGTCTGAGGTGTTTGTAGTTTCTG